TTTGCTTCAGCTGTGAGGTTTGTTTTTCAGCCTCTGTTCGTTTTTTTCATACCTGCAGTCTTTCTCCTGGCCAATGATTCTTTTTGCTCTGCAAATCTCATTAAAAACACTTTGTAGTTGGTGTTTCTCAAAAATTCATGTATTTTCCAGGATCTGGCAAAGCTTTTTTGGTCTCATTGTGCAGCATCTGTCAAGTTCTCTGCTTCTTTAACTCCAGTTCAACTCATAGTACTGTCTGAATAGTTTTGATGGATGACTCTGACAATCTCAGCTTTCGAGTACAATAGATTTGGGTCTGGATCTCTGGGTGAAATACTTTATCCTGGTATTGTAAGAAAACCTGGAGCAAACATACCTAATCTGGAAAGTAGCCTCGAACCCATCTGGAGATGAATAGTAAAATCTGGAGATGAATAGTGAAATCTGGGCCTGTTCTTTCAGAGGACTGGTTAGTTTGTAAGTGGATTTGGTCCAGTTGTCATTGTCTGTGGGTATTGTAACAGTTTATTTGTGGGGTTTATCCCAGTTTTTTTTTTTTTTTTTTTTTGGTCTTTTTCTCTATTTGTGTAACTCTTTTGTAACAGATTACCATAATTCAGTTGGTTCAATACAGCAAGTGTTCACCTCACTCCTGTGAGTGCAACATAATCACCCAGTAAGACAAATGGGGATACTGACCTCTGGGCAAATACTCTATTTTTTATCCTCTGGTGCCAGTCTCTCTGTAATAATATAATCATTTAATATCTGATGGCTTCAACCAGGGAGGCTTTTAACAGTCCATGGGTTTCTGGCATGAATTTGGCATTTTTATCTCTTTGCTTATAGTTTCATCCTCAGTGATGGGTCTTATCAACCCCTGGTCCTGTGGAGAGGACAGAAAGCTCTTCTGCTGAAGCTTTGATGGTCTTATTTGTCCAAATTTGCACTTCTGTCAAATCCTTGGCTGCAGCTCTACATTTCATATGTGAGGCTGTTATGATCCATTTAAATGCCTATGGGGATCTCAACAAGCTTTTTGAAAAGATTAATGACTTAGCTGTGGGTTTTATGATAGTGTTTCTAAAGAAAAGCCTGCATACCTAATAAGGTTATTTCTACAAGCCAAAATTTGCATTGCTTACCATAAAAGATGTAGATGGACTTTAACTACAACATCTAAAGGTTTGTTGCCCATTTTTGTCTTTTGCTGATCAGTTTTGTGCAAGAAAAGGGAAATAAAGAATGGAAAAGGGAAATAAATAAGTGCATCAGCTTTAGAATGACAGGAGAAGGGACTTATGGATGTGAAGAAATCTTAATTTTAGAATCATACCATATGGATATAAACCTTTGTTAGAATTTTACTTTATAGTCTTTTTGTTTGGGCATGACTATAAATAGGAGTAATTTAAAATAATGCTTGAACCTTCATCAGGTTTATCCAAGATTTATGAGGGTGGTTAGAAAAAGATTAACTGAATCATTAGCTAAATTGTCTTTCATAAGGCAACCACCAAACAGCAGCCTGGAAGGAGAGAGGTCACATTTGTGCTTTTGTTAAACTGTTAACCTAGACGAGTGTGAGTTTTTAAGTGCAGTTGAAGCTTGTTTGTTATAGTCTTTAGTAAGTGTTAGTTAAATATTAAATATCAGAGATCATCTCACATGCTACAACTGTTTTTGCCTAAAATCTGACTGATACTTATTGTGATTTTCAAAATGTGATGTGTTTGCCTAGCTTAAATCTTCATTTATTGTTGAGAGACATAGTGTGGCTTCATTTACGAGTGGTACCATGGTAATGTGATCAGACTTCTGGTCCTTAATTTCTTTAGTTTTCTATTTCTTTTATTTTCCATATTACTAAAGTTAAGGACTTAAATAAGATTTTCATTTTCAAATTGTAGACAGTCTAAGCTCAATTGATAGTTTTTATTAGCACTTCTTTTAAGCACATTCTACCGGTGTATTCCTATAGGACTAGTAGACAAATCTGAAATTAGAAAATTAAATATTTAACTTGAAAGGAAACTTATGGGGAAAATAATAATTTTAGACACTGTCATCAGGTATTACACTCACCTTAAGTGTCTGAAAACAGTAATTGAATCTCTATTCTCCCAAATGAATTTATACTAAAAAGATTACCTGCATTTGTATTTTTTTAAAAAAAGATCCTGATTATTGAGATATAAAACAAAGCAAAACAGATACACAATTCAGTGTCATTTATTGGTGTTTTTCTGAAGTTGCATTTCTTTTTTTCTAAGCAGATAAACTTTTTGGTTTTGTTGTTTAAGCTACGTAGCCTGTTTAATTATCATATCCTGGTTGTTTTATAAGAAAAATGTAGAAATTATAGTATTAGCTGCGGAAAATATCTTCCAATATTTGCAGAGTAAATCTGTTTGGAACATAACACGTTTTCTGACTCTAGATGCTATACATCTGTTGTTTGATTTGCTGCTACAAACACTAGATGTAACAGAGAAAAGAAATATGGTTGCAGACTTGCTTATTATACTGCATGCCACTTCTCACAAATGCTGACTATGCCTGGGTTAAAACTTTGTCAGATGATGAACAGACTAACAGGAGAACACAGATGTCTGCCTGGAGCAAACGACGAGGAGCTGTGGATTCCTGTCTCCTCAACCTGCTCTATCAAAGGACAGAACACATCTGGAGAGTGGTGCCGTTTGCCCAGGGCACTCTTCTGCAAGGCCAGAGTGGTGTCGCTGTGGGAAATGTAACGGAGGCTGCTCAGAGCCCCCGCCGGGTGACACACATAATCACATCTGCATCACACAGGGACATTGCAAACCTGTAATGCCAGCACAAGACCCAGGAATGGACCTTAATCCTATCAGTCATTCTCCAGCCTGCTTCCCACTGTGTAGTGTCAACTGGGGCTACGTGCTGGGCACTTCCTGGCTGCTGGCCCAATGTGAATGCATGATTCTGACAAGTTCTGTGGAAAATGGAGCAGCATCAATGTGACTTCTTTTCCTGACACTGTAAAGAGAAAAGACTTTCTCTCAAGTCCCCTGTGAGTTTTCACATAAACTGTCTTTGTGCCAAAGCAGTTAATGCTTGTGTGTGCAAAGCTGGGTTTTAAAGGCAGGTATATTCTTGTTTTAGTCTTTCAGGGCTCATTTGATGGCCAGGAAGCTCTTTGTTTTTGTGTGTGGCTGTATGTACATAGTTTTCTGCTGAAGCTTCTCAGTGTTGTTTTTAATCTGAGTGCTAAGCTGAATGAAGTCAGGAAACTGTGTATTACTCATCGAGATGCCAAGGTCACAGAAGCTTTGCGTGAGTTTTACACTCGTCAAAGTCCTCAATTATTCCTGATTTGCAAGTCTGTCAAGAAAATCTCTTCCCTGAAGCACAGTGCAAATTTACAAAAGCAAAAGAAGGAGCACAACAGAATTGCCTCTCAAAGCATGGGGAGCAAATTAAGAGTCTTTGGTTTTGAATCTTTTGCATTATATACCTTTACAAAAAAATATAAAATAAAATAAAGAACAAAACATGTTTTCCATACTGCTGACACTTAAAGGTTAGTTGTGTGTTTCTCCTTCAGTGTTACCATGGTGATGAGAGTACTGTTAAGGCAGGTACTAGATTAGACTAAAATCATTTATCCTTCTTTGCACCTGCAAAATGCATGGCCACAAGATGGATAGCATCATTTGGAGCACTCATTCCTCTGACAGGCTGCTGTAAGCTCAGTCCCAGAAGTTTACATTAAAACATGGATAGAAGTTTTGCAGGCCTAAATGCTACTGCAAAAGGAGGCTGGGTTTCAAAATATATCTAAAAGTACAAGCATATCTCTTCAATCAGTAGTAAAACCAAGCAACAATAAAGCCCCCAGCTCTACTCTGTCTGCTCAAGAAGAAAATAGAGAGGGAAGAATATGCAGGCAGAGGAAGCTGAATGATTTCTTTTTTTAGTGATGCTGAAAATGTTACTTACCGCGATGCCTCATTAGCTGTCTCTGAGGCAGGACTCTCCCAGCTGCATAGGCTGTTTTAGACTCTCAGTGCTAACTCTGATGCTGATGAAGTTGCCCGGTTGTGTTAGGCTCAGGTGTCTCTCCCCAGCTTTCTCTGATCCATTCACTATTTAGAATAATACTACTGATCTGTCAGAGATGAACCACAACTACACACTCTTAGGAAAACTGGTCTCAAAAAGACTTCAAAATGCCTTTTTTTTTCTGTTTGTTTTTCTTCTGTGCTTCTCTCTGCATCAAGCTCTCAAAGCCCTTCAGAAAGCTACAGCTACCTTACTGATCCTAGTTTTGAATTACTCTTCCTATGGTGGCTTTGTATTTGAATACAATTTTAATTTAATTTGCTTTACAATATGCATCTAAGTAATCAATCTTCATTTAATATCAAGTAAGTGTGTATGGTCTGTTTTGTTCCATCACCACCTCCTCTCTCCAGCATTTATATTAGTTCTTAATTTTGTAATTTCCCTATCATATAAGCTGTGACATTTGTATTTGTACCTTAAAAATGTATTTAGATGCATAGAGTTATTTATTTAATTGTTGAGAAACTAACTGCATTGTGGCACATTCCTCTTAAGCAGAAGTGGAAAGATGTTAACGTCTCCTTCATAGGCTTGTTTATTTGTGGCATATGCAATTAATGGTTATTTCTAATGCCTCTTATGTAGTAAGTAGATTGCCTAATTCCATCTATTTCATTTCAAATATCTCACATTTTTTTATTTAGGATCATCAACATATTTTTACATTAATTATTTAACTGCCATTTCCAATCTTTTAGTCAGGCACACTTCTGCCTACTCAGGGCACAATTAGTCACTGCATTATTATAGATTTATACCAGTGTAAGTGAATAAAAAGCAATTTGCACATTTTGAACAGTTACATTTTGTTCTGATTTTTTTTTTTTAACCCTGAAAATTGTCTTTCAACTTCACATTAAAATGTTTTTCAGGATGGGATAACCAGGACTTACGCAGCTGTTTTCTTATTTTAGATCCTGAATTAATCACCTCCTCTTGACTATTGAACCCTTCTCATCCACCATCAAGAAAACAATACAGTAAGTAAAATAAATCTGAATTAATGTAAAGGGGTTAATAAGCTGGTCAACACACAAAGATTATTTACTGTACTGTTTCTCATTGGAAGTGCCATATGCATAGCTACCACTTTTCTATAAATGTAAATTCATAGCTACTCTGTGCCACAATGTGTGGTGTACTACAGCCATTGCTTCCAATCTCTTAGCCAAATTATTTTGTTCAAATAATGCTCATGGTTGTTTGATTCAGTAGTTGGTTGCACTTACATTGTCAGAAGTTGGGAGAATGAAACTCCATGTATGAGACAGAGTTAAGGTTTTGTTTTAGTTTAAGGTTTATGTTCTTGAGTCATAGGTATTACTATAATACTATTCATAAGAGAGTGTAAGTTCTTAAACATATGTTAACTTGGTAACAAGTTATGCCCTGATGCAATTTGGAAATGAAAAATAAAACATGGACATGGTATTTTCTAAGCATTTTCAGATGTTTTAAAGTTCAGAACTGACATAGTGCTGGAGTGTTCCTTGTCCATAAGTAGCACAGTAGAAGGACAAAAATACCTAGCTTGGACTTAGATACACTAGCTGATGGCTTTTTCAGCCAAGTGTTGGAGATCTGCCTTCTTCTATGGACCCCTTTGCTCTTTCTTTCAGGCCTGTAAGATGTCTGTTAGTGGAGGGAGAACTTGGCATTGGCACCTGTAGGGACTACCTAATTTGTAGAAGCCTCTGTGGACACTAGCCAGGGAGTCTTTACATCAGTCAGTATCAGCAATGATGCTTTCTGTGCAGGTGTTAGTGAAGTCCAATAAAGTTAAGGCTCTCTTTGTAGCTTTAGTGCTAATAATTACCTGTATCAAAGAAAATAACCCAGCTCTTCAAAATAATTTTACTGTTTGGAAAACTGCAATGTTCTCAGGACTTAATTAACCATTAGGTGTGTATTTGGACTGAAAATATGCGTGAGTAAATTAAAAATATTACAAGATCTCTAATCTGTTTTTTAGAAATGTTTATTTTATTATAATGGTTTCATTAAATGTAAGGATTTAAGAAGGATCTATAATAAGTATGAAATAATACTGTGCTAAGACATCATATGAAGATTTTGCACATTATTCCCAGTTGATTAAGTCTTTGAATAATGTCAAAAATAAATAATTCTGTCAGTGGACAAAGGTTAAATATTTTTCCAACTGGTGATGCTTAGAATATAAATAACCAAATGACACTTTGACACAAATTTCATAGTACATACAAATTTCTCTATTTTTTCCTTTGTCCTCATGCAAATTATGAGTCTTCCTTCATAAAGGTATATTATTTTATTAAGTACTAGACAGCTGCTATTTGTCTTGATTTCAATCTGCCTTCTTTCACAAGGAAAGTCAGTGGAACTTCTGTCTGTAACCTCTATCATATTGTATTAAAGTTTCCTAAAGTAAGAGTCAGCAAAACAGCAGATAACAAACGCCAATGAAGTGTCTCTTGTGAGACTGCCAGCCCTTCAAGGCTTTCACATGCTTCATGAATTAAATGGAATCATCATTGAGTTATCAGGACTCTGAAAAAGGTCTAACATTAAAACAGCACCATTTGTGCTAGCCATGCTAGAATTCTGTTCAACAGTTTTATTCCGAAAACCTCTTTTTAATGGTGTAACCTCTTTTGCACAGAACATGGGTGTGACTGGACACCTCACAAAACATCTTTTTTTTTTTTTTTTTTTCTGCAGTTGCAGGAACTTCTTGCCTCTTTTGAAATTTAAAATTGTTCAGTCTCAACTAGCAACAACTTGACCTTGAAAAACATTACTAATGAATATAATCCGTCATAAATGCAGAGCTACTTGTGTGTATAATTATCCCTCATATGAATTGATATGTGCAGTACTGACCTTTCAAACATGCTCTCTGGGCTATCATAACTTCAGAAAAATAAATTTATTTTTCCCTTTTAAATCTTGGTGGCAAAGCTAGCAAATAATTTACAGTATGAACTAACTGTTTTTCTTATTCTGAAAAACAAATAATTGACTTGTTTTATTTTGCCAAGATATTATTCAGAATATGGAACTTTTCATGTATTTTTTTATAAAAAAATTAGTGATGCTCTTTAATACCGTAAATGCATTTACTGTGTATCAGAAGCACCCACATTAACCCAGCAGACTGAGACAGCTCCATCCATTGACTCAATGGACTGTGAAATAAAAACGTTCTCTCTATAAGCATTGGTACAGTATACCACAGTGGATTGAAGCTCTCAAGATGAGTTCTCAAGTTAATAGTATTCTAATAACCCCCTTTTTGGTCCCTGACATGACAGATGTACAGTACCAAAGAAATAAAACAAAATCTCATGTTTTTCAAAATTCTTCAGTTTAAGGTATATTTGGTAGTTAACGTAGTTATATTTAGAGGTCATTTCAATGATGTTTAAGCTACATGTGAAATATCCAAAAATTTTCCAAAAATGCCTCTTTTTTTGCTTAGGAGGCTAAAGATAATTTTCTGTAGACATCTGGGGGACAAACATTTGCCATTGCAAATGGCTAGAGCAGATTTTATGTTACACATTTGTGCCAGCAAATAGTTACCATCTCTCTGCAGCATTAGAGTAGAACCAGGAATGGATTGAATGAGTCCTATTCATACTTCGGTGTGTTTTGTCTGTCAGTCTACAGATCACTGAAAAATCTTTCAAAACCAGATTTTCACATAACAACTTCAGATCTGCAATCGCAGCCTTCACAGACTATGGTCAGGTAGACTAAAAAAGAATATAAGCTTAAGTGGGGTGAGGCAATCACTGCTGCACTGTTATTCTTAGGCATCCAAAATATGCATATAGCTACTGGTATGTATGAGAGCAGAAGTCTGCTCAGTTTTTCTTGCCGTGACCTTCAGTCACTTGTTCTTGACTGAATTTCATTTTGATGGGACTGTTAGGATCACATTGGCTTAGCCACATAACCAGTTCTTGTGATCCCTAAAAGGAGCTGTTAGGATGGGGGCCTCTTCCCAGTCTCTCTGAAGTTTGTTTTCTGCTACACCCCATTTCCTTTTGATGTCAGTCATAGTCTGTGCAGCCAGACCTGCATCAAGTCTTTCTGTGCATCTGAGGAAGTAGCAAGGCACCTTGATGGGCTGTTCTGCTGCACCTCCACATCCTGGCACAGCTCACAGGGCGTCTGTTCCCACCAAGTGTGGCCAAGGAGTGTGAGGAATGTTGAGCTGTGGAGGATCTTTCTGTGCACATCCCACCCCTGGAAACACAGAGTAGTAAAAGTCCGTCTCTACACAGAGCCTTATCACTTAATTTATATATTTAAAAAATATATGTTATTCCACAACCGTATGGGTCCCAAAGGCAAAATATCTTTAAGCCATATATAATCATGAGATAAAATACTGCAGGAAGCTGGCCATCATAAATAATCAGGATGTGTATTTTTGTGTTAGTGGATAATGCAGGAAAGTGACCATTCCCACGTATGCCTGCTGCTAACCTTGTACCCCAGGGGATAATTATTTGTAATTAGGTCAAAGAAGAAAAGAGATCTCTATTTCCTTGTCAATAAACAAGCTAGAGAAATGTTCAAAAGGATGCCGTGATTGTGAGAATTTTGCTGTAAGCCAAGTTTATCTATACATAGTGTAAAATAATAAAAAAATTTCATGAGATAGACCAGATAAGTATCTCTGGAGAGAGATGAGCACTGATTGCTAACTTCTGCACAGAATCTCCATACCCATGGAGACTAAAGCTTTATAAAATGAAAAGCAGCAGATAAAGAGTCAGCTTGCTGTGGAGATTGGGGATTATTTTATTAATTTAAAAATTATAATGTCTTAAATTTTATCTGTTATAAATTGAATGAATTGAACCATGATGCATAGAAGTATTAATAAGATTTCAATTAAACTTTGCCACGATGTTCTTACTCAGTTATTCTTTCCACTACCCACTAGAAGGAGCCCTTTTTGTAATACAGCTGTAAATTCTGGACCCCAATGGCCACATTATAATGCAATGATAATATAATGTACATTCTGCAAAATATCTGTAATTACGTATTTGTGTGTGGCTTCACAATAGCTCCTCTAGTATTATGCAGTTTTAAATCTTTATTTACATGAAGGTTATTTCTTAGCATTTACATTATTCTAATGCTAATTTGTATTTAATATCATACTGTGTCTGCTTTTGATTATGTTTTATAATAAGATGCAGCAGGATTAGTTATCAGATGATGCTTAATTTCCATAATGAGATAATTAAATCTTCTGAATTTGGAAGTAATCATCCCAGAACCTTGTTTTGGACAACCCATAGTCTCCAATATCAGGGACAAATGCCATGCAAAGGGAAGTATTTAGTAGAATGTAGGGCAATTCAAAGTAGAACTTCTCAAATCCCTTCTTATGGTTCATATGTCCCTTAGGTTCATTTGTCAGTTTTGAAAGAAATCATACATTTAATAGGTGGAAAATATTGGTAAATTCCAGAATGCCATTTTTAAGATGATCGTCAAAAGGTTTGTCTTTCTGAACTCTTGTTTTAATCAACCAGTGTCCCTGATTTCAAAGTGCGCTCCATGTCTGCATGTGAACTTCATTTTAGGTATCTTTCTCTTCTATATATATACATATGCACGTATGTATGTTATGTTTACATTTGTTTGTGTATATTAAATTATATGCATATTGCATATATTGTGTTTATGCGTTAAATCCCTCAAAGTATATATAATTAACAACATTATAAATGTTTATGCAGGATGAGTTGTCTGATGTATAACAACTGAGTTTCAGACCTTGAGAAATTTCCACCTCTCTCTCTGAAGCCTGAGCAACAGTTTGACATGGCTCACTTGGTAATTCTGGGGTGCCATCCTTGTCCTGAAGTAATTTATACAGGCTGGCAGTCATTCTGATATGTGGCACATCCTCCCAACTGCTGGACCTAAATCCACTGCAAATAGCGGTAACAAGGGTAACTCTTGGGTTTTT